ATGACCTGTCTTCAACCTCTCCGGAAATGGACGACTCCAATACCCTACGATATCTATTACATGGATCCCAATATTCCATTTCATTGATTATAGTGATAAGAACGTATTAGAGGACTAACATCTAGTGCGACCTTACAGTAATAAAATACAAATGGAACTACAGGACAGACAGAAGTTGCTTTTTTATGGATGTTAATTATGCAAATTTTTTAATATTTCTTTTTTTGCCGACATTTGAACCAATCGATAAGTATTAATAATGTTGAGTTATAATAAGTTAGCTACGTTACAAGTGACTTTTGCGTTACATATGTAGTGCATTGCTCTATGTATGGCCCATAGTAACTGTTTACATATTCAAATAGTCAAGATGGACATCATGAGGGAAATTTAGTTCAATAATCCAAAGCATTCAAAGATATAAGGAGGAATCTAAAGACTCACAAATCCCCAGAAGTTAATCCCGAAATTCAAAAATAGTCTATCTCGAGATATTCTGTTTCATCATTCATGGCACACAACTAAGATGCGACATACCTCCCACTCAGCGGGTCATCGATTTTCTGTAATGTCGCTAGGGACTAGGGAATTTCGGAGACATTGCGATATATAACTTGGTTATGGTGAATCAAAGTAGAAGGGGAAAAAATCGCTTTAACTGAAGAGACGGTCAGGACTGCTAAGAACTAAAGAAATAATTACACACGATAGTTGTTGAAGCAAAGAGAAAAAGAAAAAAAGAACATGACGTCAACAAAAAGATGAAAACGATCGATAGGAAAGGTATGAAATAATGCTGTTGGGTATGAAAAAAGAAGCAAACTCTCGCCACTGAAGCGGAATAGGCCATTTATGCATAATTAGGGTTACACGTAGACTCTTAGCATTCTTTTGATGACGTTGCGTGAACAATTTCCAGGCCTTACGTGGGAATGAAATATCCAAGCATATCATTAAGTTGGAAGCATGAGGAAACGCTACAGCTTTTCGAACTTATGGAAGCGGAAGATGACTGGTAATTTCTTGCCATCGTATTTATAAATCAACTTCTATTGTGTGCAACAATAGATGTACGTACGCGAGTAATGTACATGAATTTTACGCCGATGTGTAGCGAAGACTGACCTGGAAAAATGCGTGTTACTGACAATCTCCAACGGCCCTACCTATCATACTTTCTTTCTCAGACCACAACGATTACTCACTTATTCGAAGAAATAATACGGCCCAAATCATTCACGCAGTGAACTGCAAGTATCGGTTAACGTGCGGAGATCGCATCAAATTATTCGTTAATCCATCTATCCATAAAGAAGTCATATTCAAATGTCGTGTTGGCAAACAAGTTTGTAGCATTTGAAGTTTCCATCATCATTACTTCCACGAAATTCAAATCGATTTTTCTAAAAATATTAATTTTTCATAAACTTTAAAAAATTTTATGGTTGGGAAACGTGTCGTTTTCGATGGCATAAAAGAAAAGACCAGTGCGTTGTTAATATCTGCAGGAACTGTTGACAGGAGCAAAGAGAGCAATCACACAGGTTGTGCCATAATTGTGAAGTCATTTTCAGGCTTGTACGCAGCAAAAGACTTACGGAAAGCTTTGGAGATGAAAGACCGGCTGGTTTTTTTACCGAAAAAGTAAGGATTTTGTGAAATTAAGATATTTTTTTTTCTATTCAGTACTATTTGATATTGTGAAAAAGGAGAGCGAGAAAGATTTCACTATTTTTGGCCATCTAGTTTAACAGTTTCACCCCAAGTTTGTAGCACCGAGTTGAAGTCACAGTATTTTGTATCCATCTTTTAATTCAATTCATTCATTTTGTCCCAATTATCATAATTTGGAATTTATGACTTTTGAAATTTTGGAATAAATTGAATGACATTTATTTTTGTTGAATTCAAGATCACTTTAAAATGCTTTAACTCATTCGTATTATTCATCATGGACTCACTTTTCAGTTATGTAAAGATGAGTTTGAACGTGTCATGTCAAGTGGCCATCCGGAACATTTCTTACGAAAGCCAGGTGAAAAGTATTCTCGAAAAGAACTCATTCATGCTTGGACGGTTTATTTAAAAAAGGAGGCAGGTCTTTGTAACACGTTTCTAATCTTTTAAATAGATTTTTTATTATTAATGTTTAATATAGTAATTCCCCTTATCCATGTTATTGGGATATCTGCATCGTGATTTTTCTCAAAAAACTCAATCTTGAGGTCATTTCGATTTTAGTAAGTATCTTAACCCACATACTTTTTTTCAAAGAAAAGAAAAAAAAGAAACAGAAACATATTGGTTGCATTTTAGTGATGATTAAAGCTTAAAACGGAAGAACGGCAAAAAAAAAATGATAAAATCTATGTCATAAAGCATTATATTAGTTTAAATATCTTCCTTTAAATAATTCCTGTTCGTTTTGCACTTCTCTTATTAATTTCTCAAATTATCTCCTAACTTATTAACTCAGCATGCCGCTTAGGATATCATTCTGTGAAACGAGTTATTCGTGTATTTCAGCAGGTCATGAATTTTCGGTGTTTCATTTTGACATTGCAGTTAAAAATTAAGAAAGCGCAGGAGGAAGAGCTGCTTTTGGTGAAATTACGTCAAAAAGCAGACCTTTTTAATCGTTTATTCTCAGCTGATAGTGATTTAACAGACAAGGAAATAGAAAAATTGCTGGAGGAAGCTCGTGAAGAAGATAGTATGGTATGTGTTTCTTATTAATGATGTACGAGGTACCAAGATAAAGCGTTCTTCAGGTTTTTACTTAATAGGGTTTCATTCTTTGCAATGATGATTTTTTTGCTGAAAATGATCTTCCACAATCTCTTAGAATATAGCAAAAGTTTTCCTGCAAGAAAGGGGCGTGCAGTTTTTATATCAGATGTTTTCAGCGTGATCAAGAAGTTGTCCGAAAAGAAATTGAAATTGGTACAAAGAATTTGAAAGAATATCTAACTCTTCACGAAACAAATGTAAGTTGCATTTCGCTATGTTTAATTGAAATGCTTGGAAACAAAGGTCAGCGAGTCCTTCGTTGAAATGAAAATTGTATGAGATTTCAGCCAATTAAATATCCACAGCTGAAGATCATCATACCACCGTCTCATCCGCCCCCATCATCCGCCAATGAGGCACCATTTTCTCCAATTAAGCCTCTTTTCGAAGGCCTTTCCTTTCAACCACAGATTACTTCGCAAACAAAAGCATCGCCTGTTGCAAATATCACTTCTGGATCCTCCTTATCCAGGAAAGTCAGCAGTCCGCAACGTCAAGGTGCTACGTTGGAAACGTTGATTAGCGAAACAAAAAGTGTCGGAAAACTATTGTCTGCTCAGGGAAGATTACGGACACTCTCAGTTAGCTCACGAACACAAGGATCAGTCGGAAATAGTGCATTATCGAGTGAAGCTGGTAAACATTTCAGTTCTTTTTTAATTTAATTAAGAATTGAATGTTCTCAAAAAAAGAATTTTCATAGCTTTTGAATATTGTTATGGGAGGTGCGAGAAATATTTATCAAGGACAAATGCTGTGGTATTTTTTGGCAGAAGAAAACAGAAAAGCATACTGGAAAAATCGATGAAAATATCTTTCGATACATATTCTCCGTACTATTATATTGTTATATTCAATCACATTATTATGCTCTTCCGCTTTAGTTAACTTTCCCGAAAAAGTAAAGTTCGTCGGTTTTTAAATTGTTTTTATGGTCCTCATATTTAGAAGCCGCCGCTGAAAATTTAATATTGCAATCGGAATCGAGTGAGTTGGTGCTAGTTGGTCCTTCGAAAAATAGTGCTAATGAAATTCAGATTAAGGCGTCCGGAACTTCGGATGAGGTTTATTTGTTTAAATTGTTTACCTGATCAGAATCTCTTTTAGGAATTGTGGTTAACTGATGTGTACAGTTCTCTGCTTTTTTTTCAAATTACCTATACTCTCATTCCATTTGAATTCCTAATATCTTTGAACAATTATGTTTACCATGATGTCTTACAGTTCATTTTTTTTAGGCTAAACTACTTAATGTTGCTGTTAAAAATGAGATGGAAGAAGGACCCAGTTCAGCGGTGGAGGAGATAGTTGAAAAGAAAGAAACAGTATCATTTTTTTTTTAAAATTTAATACAATGTCCATTATTTAAATAATCCCAGATCATGTCATTTCATGAATCACAAAGCTGAGTCATAGTTATTACATATAATTTAAATATTGTACTTCAATTAATTAAGGTACTATTGCTGAAGAAAATTGATCTATTGCATTTATTTAATTGATATTTTTCTTAGATGAAAACAAGACGGACTCAAAAAATTGTTACACGATCGGGTGGTTCAGGTAACATGGATAATGAAATAACATCACCAGTGCAACGTGAGCATTCTTTAAGTATGCTTTGTTTAAATCGTTATTCAAAAATCTGCAATTATTTAAGTTTTTCGATATGCCTATATGTTCTTCTATTAGTTATCCTTCTTTTAGAAATTATTTTTATGTGATATATAGAGAATGAGTTTTTGCGTCCTTGTTCTAGGAAATCGTCGTTTTTCTGTTACTTCTGCTGGTCCTATAAAAAATACGAAGATGTCTAGTTTTATCAACAAGGAGGAAAAAAATGTTGCAGAAGAGGAGGAAGAAGGAAAATTAAGGTGTGTTAAGGACTTAATGTTTTTATATGATTATCAGACAACTCAATTTGATTATAGGAGTGTTTTAAACAAGGGTTTAATTCTTGCGAAAAATAACTTGGATATTCCTTATCACAAATTGAGAAAGGCAGAATGGTAGAAAACTGATATATAAATTCTATAAGTGATTGAAGACTGCAAATTTAAATTACGGAATAATATTGTTTATCAAAATATTTACTTCTAGACGATCAGAAAGATGTCATTCTAAGATTGATGTTGAGGCTAGTACATCTGCAACGCATATACAAACAGGAAGGCGAAAACGGTCCGCAAAATTGGAGATTGTTGGTAATAATGAAGAAGAAGTCAAGGCATCGCCTGCCAAACGTCGGTATGAAAATTATAACTTTTGACATGTAATGTTATTTCGATTTCAAAGCTGCACATGATCCATAATTAACAAGTATCCAGCAGGGAAATACAATCGTTTGATTATTGAAAGTTATTTGCCTTTTTTAACAATTATTTCTAGGCGATTGTCCAGCAGAGATGTTGAAAATGCTGACAAAAAAGATATCAAGCATCGAATCGAAAGCAATATTGAATTGCAGTCCAGTCCGGAGCCTGAAAAAGAAGTACATATCCATATAATTTTTGTCCTCTTATTCTGATAATTCTCGCAAGAAATAAATTATATGTATATGATTAAATGAAACAGTTATAAGTTCTTTGTTGCCATTAGTTGGCATTCTTTTTGGCAAAAAAATATTATTAACCGGCTTTTGTTTGATCATAGTTTTTATGTACTGTTTGAGATACTTTTTCTTTCTTTTTTCCGTGTCTTTGCGATTTTTCTCTATATTGCAAGTGGTGGAACATACTTTAAGGAGAAACATATTGTGGAGGGAGAATCTGATGACGATAAAAAACTCGTTGATTTACGCACACGAAGTCGTGCTTCGAAAGTTGTTGTTACCAATGAGAAAGCGAAAGAAAAACTAGGTAACAGTTGGATTTGGTCGTTAAAAACCATCTCTTACAATTTCTGTTGAGACATCAAAAAAAATATTAAAGTCCTCATAAAAATGAAAAATTAAAGGGACGTTTTTTGTTATTATTTTGTATCATAATTTTCATATAAAGTCTTCCGGAATATTTCCATTATTTTTAGGAACATCTTCGGAAATTTCTTCAGTCCGATCGCCGAAAAGAAGTGCAGTCGTAACACGTTCAAGCCGTCGACAAACAAGAGTATGGTTTTTATGGTATTTGAGATATGATTTAATATGTAATCAAAATATGCTTTTACTGATATAATATACTGTTATTTTAGAGCGAATCGTATGCTTAAATTATTGAATGTAATTCCTAACAATATCTTTCTGGATAATACCTAAAGATATTCGATAGGAAATAAGGTACTTTGAATTGTTAACTTTTAGTTCACATCTCATCAAATTGCATTATGTTGTATGCATTGAACTTCTGATCTTTTTTAAAACAACACAGAAACGCGTAATGCGATCACTATATGATCTGTTAGTATATCAGTATATCACACACTTATTTGGCTTTGCTAATCATCATTAATTTTTTTATTAGCCGTTGACACTATGATTATGAATATCATCATGTCATCATCATATCCCACACTTATTTCTTCTTTATCACATTTCTTTTTCATTTGCAATTATATGTCCAACGATTTGCCAAGATTGTCCGTTTGATTATTGCCTGATTAGTTAGCATGAGTTTTTGCAAAAGTGACTAACTTGTACTATTTTTACTAATCTCTAGTAATGAAGTTCGTGTGTTCAAGGGTGGTTCGGCTGATGGTGATGTGGAACAGAAAGCTCTTATGGTTACTGCGTGGCGTATGGTATCCAGTCATCGGCATGCTGCCATTTTTGCTCATCCTGTATCTGACCGAGATGCTCGAGGATACTCAAAAACTGTTAAAAGGTGTTTCGTTTGTGTAAATAAGTTATATATGGTTAAGAAGGTACATTCACAATTATAAATTTTGGATTTTAAAAGTGTTTTTCTGAAAGGAAAAGTTCCAGTCGTATGGATTTGAGCACGCTAAAGAAACAGCTAGATGGTGGTAATTTATCGGGAATGAATGACTTCAAACGAAATGTATTGCTGATGTTTGCGAATGCTGTAATGTTCAACAGTACAGGTCACGATGTAAACCATTATGCGAAAGAGATGGCTGTTGATACCCTGAGTTCACTTAAGGTACTTCATTTTTTCCCTATGCTTATGAGGTTAGTGTGCAGTAGATTCGTACCATTATTATGCACATGTTCCATTAATTATACAATAGGAGAATTTTTTTTTTATTGTTTACAACATATTGTACCTAATATTTAAACACTTAAATATTTTTCTTCCTTACAGATGCTTCAGAAAGATGTGTTATTTGTTCGAGGTACTACACATATGACCCGTAGAAGTGCTGCTTTTGCGGCAGAAGAGGTTTATATTTGGTCTTTTCCATTATTTCCTTTGTGATTCCATGATTTTGGTCATATGTATTTAAAAAGTGTCAGTTTAATGATATTCTTTATCGATTCATTCATGATTTCTAAATTATGATCCTTTTTAAAGTTGATTCATGCTCAAGATTTACGAAACTTCTTATTTCAAATTAATATCAGGATTTACAGGCCAAATTTGAGCGTTCAAGATTTTCAAGTCCACGTGTTACTCCTGTGAATTCGGAGGAGCCAGGTAAAGAGAAAACATCTGACAATAATTCACGAGAAACTAGTGAGACTCCGAAAGCTCTGCGCAGCGGAAGAGCCTCTAAAGAATGACTTTATCACTGTTCATAATTTGCCATTCGTATGATTGTAAATTAGTTTGCATTTATATTTAACTTTTCTTTGTACAATTCACAATAATGACTATTGTTGACGGCCTTTTCATAAAGGTTAGCTCTGTAGTAATTCTTATAAACAATATACGATGCTATTTATTTAACTTTTTGCCTTGAAAAACGTACATCTTTCCTTCTTCCTTATTTCTCTTACTTATTTTTTCGTTTCTAATCTTTAAGCTTGTTCAAGCCTTTCTTTGGATAATATAATTGATTAGTCCTTTATCGTTATCTCAGGTTATGAGCAAAATATAGTTTTAATTGTGGGTATTGTTTAGAATTTTTTCTCTTTTTACACGAGGCATATGGATTTCAGATTCATCGATCTGAAATCCATATGCCTCGTGTAAAAAGAAATATTCATGTGGATGTTTTAATTACCGATATACCGAACGTTAAAACATGTAGTGTCGTTCGTTAAAAGGTGTAGTATCTGGAAAATAATGAACTTTTAAGTTAAATGTCATTCACGGAATATACGTTGAGTTTCAAAAAGTGATATAACAAAATTTGACAATGTTTTGATTTTAAGTTACTTAGAGGAAATTATAATTAGTTCATTTCCAGATGCGATTAAGCGGTTGTTTGTTTCTACTTCAGGTTTGCGAAATTATTGTTGCGATGCAAGAGTGGCTTATCGCTATGGATAAAATAATTCAATTTGTGTGAAAACCTAAGAATGATATCACTGATAAGTTAGTGAATGAGTCTCTCAATGGTATCAAAGTGTGAAGATTATTAGTTAATTAGCAAATAATGCTTAGTAGTATCTTTTAAGTTTGGTTGAAAATCTTCAGTTATTTATTGTGAACGGTGAAACGGCCAAAACAATACGAATTCATGGACTTTTGTCATGTGGTGGTGCATCCGTACTCGGCGCACGATTAAAACTTTACGATGGAGGTGTAGATTAAATAGATTTTACGTTCATGACATTGAGCATTTACACTATGCGTCGGTTTCCAGTTAACTGTTGGATTATTGAAAAATTTTCGGCTACTTATGGTAAATTTAAAACATCAGGTGAGCTGGAATCGAAAATCTAGGGAACAATCTTTGCACATATGTTTTTTGTCGATAATTCAAAATTGTAGCTGGGCTTAAGGATGATGGTACCACAGCAAATCACTGGGATGAATTCCTGTTTCAAGTGAAAAATATAGACACATCGGAGCTATATCTAACAATTGATCACCATTGCGACGGAGGAATTTTACATAAGGTGCATGAGGGGCTTTGGGTTATTTTCATCTTGCTGAATTTAAGTTATGCAGTTACCTTACTTGTGTCTATTCCAAAGTATTTTTATATACAGTTCTGTTATATTAGAATGGTAAAATAGACAAATGTTACAAAAACAAGGATTCATTTCAGCAATGCATTCGAAAAGATAAATTGTTATTCCAACAAATTGCAAAGCAACGACTGATCTATCATATTGGAATGCTGGAATTACAAAATACAACTGTATCACATCCAAAAGTATTTCATTATATTGAAAGTCATAATGGTTGTAAATGTTACAATCAGAATTTATTCCAAAACAATTCCACCTTATGCATCAATTATATCAAAATGAACCAGAAAAAAGAGTCCTGAAAAAAGTGGTAAAAAACTATCGATGAAAATTGATCCTATAATGTTAATTGTTCATTGAAAAATTGTCTAAATTTATTTATATAATTTTAATTGAATTCGGATATTATGAGTGCATTATATTAGTTGTTTCAAGTATAACTTTTAAATGCAGTGAAGTTTCTATTTGCTTATTATTAATTCTATAGCAACTTTACATTTTTTTTACTTAATTTAATCTGTATCAATTTCTTTTTTCTTTATTCACATTTATCGTCATGTGTCTTGGAATCAGATATGACAATTAATTAGCAAATACAGGTGGAGTGAGGCTCTTAAACACTCTTTTATTGTAATACATATTATATGCATTTGCACATGATAGCAATTAGCATAAACACATTAATAATTAAAATTCGAAAAAAGGCAAAAAGGAAGAATGCATAATTTCTTCCTCTTCTTCACGCTCTATCAAAGCAACAGTGCAATAATTTCGAGATCATTTCAAGAATGGAACAAACGGTGCAAGATTTGTGAAATGTGAAGTGTAAATCCCAACATTTTTTAGTTCGAGATTTTTTTAGCATATTGGTTAGTTCCCAAAATGCTAAATGTTTAAGTTTTGGTACCGAATAATAGTTCCAAATGATGTCGTAGTCGAAAAGTACTGAATAATGGTGAAAATGAAGGATGACTCGGTTTCTATCCATCATTGCACAGTTACCTCTGAAAAAATTCCCATCCTTTATAATTAGCACGCAAAGAAAATGCTAATTAGAAAGAAATTGTGATGAAATCAATTTTTAAAATTTTTCTTGTCTAATTAATAATATTAATAGAATTATAGTCGAAAATTACAAATCGATAAGATGAGTGAAAATCGTATAATAATGATTAGTTAATCAATTGGTAAGGATTATTCTTTACGAAAAAATGAACAATTTTTTAATCGTTCCCATATGAACCACTAATTAGATGTTTATGTACAATTAATGATATCTTTTAAAAGGTATTACAATTAAAGTAGCCAAACCTGAAGGCCTTTTTGACCTCGCTGACAATCTTGCTTAATTTTCAATTAACCATTTATCATAACTTTTGATCAGATTTTCTCACCTAGCAATCTTTTGAGATTTCAATGCATTCATTGTCATTGTATTCATATCAATCAGAATCCACGTTCGATCAGGTACAAAAATAAATGCTCGCAAAAGTACAATATTCTGTTCTTGTGCCATAATTCTAACAAAACGTGGTCGTGCAGAATATTTTTTAGCGAGCATTGACTGCCATCGTAATAGTGAAATCGTAATATTAATTTTTGCGGTTGAAGAAAAATTACTTTCGAAATAATTTTTAAAGTCCATTTTTAGCATAGCAACACAAGTTTGTCTCTCACTTTCAGAATGTTCCTGGAAAATATAAAAATATTACTGCGAAAATTACAAAAAATTAACAATCTTCTACGAAGATTTTCCTGCGACACCAACAAATGATTTGTGTTGTGAAAATTCAGTGATGTCTAACGTACAATGCCTTCATTATGGGAAAAAATTAATGAAAGATTCTTCTACTAGAATTTCGACTAAGTGAACATAAAAAACATTACTAAAGGAAATTTTTAAATTTCGAAAAACTCTTCTATCCGAATAAGTAAAAGATGGGTAATGCTTGATTTTTTGATTTCCAACATTTTTTGTGTAATTCTGCAATATATTCTTAATGAAGTGATACAAATTTATCATGTGAAAGATAGACGATTAATAAAACACTGAAATATTGATAATACAACGACGAGAATGAATTAGTAAAACTGTAGCCGATCAAAAGAGTATTTCTGATTTATTTAGTGAATTCTATCTTATGGATGTTAAAAAAGATTTTAAAGGATGAAAAGATAAGATTCAAGAGAAAAGACTAATATGATTGAAAAAATGAAAAGTTTCAACGGATTAGATGATAAGTTTAGATTGAAATGAATAACAAACCGTTCTAAGCCGCACAATGAAGTAGAGTGACGTCTTGTTAATTAAAGGATAGCATCTGGTATCGGTGCATAAATCCGTTTCACGTAACATTTCCCCGTCGTCCGTTTGTATTCCACGTTGATAAGCATCCTGTTCACTGATTTCCAACATTGGTATAGCAAAATTAGATGAATGAAACGGATTAGCTGGTACCAGTCGAGCAAATATCATCGATATATTATCTTTTTCACCAAGTAACGGTAAATAAGCTAAAATATTAAATTTTTAACATCTCTGCATTTATGCTTAACTTCTCATAACAACGTTATTAATTTATTTTTTTGTAGTGATGCCGATACTTACTCATATTCCCATCTTCCATTAATGTTGTTGTACAAATCATACGAGTATTGTCCGTTTCATACAACATATCATCAACATCGAAATTCCAAATACGAGCATATTCACATGTTACTGTATGGTTTACGTGTGAAAACTGGATAACATTTTGCGCTACATTACCATTGTTACGTGAAAAATCAACAAGTATTCCAACAGTGTCATTCAAATAGTAAAAACGGTGAAATCTCTGCAATTAAATTTCTTTTCAGTTCATATCACCTGTGCATAATTTTGTTCATTCGTGTATACACATTTATCTATTTTCTCTTCACAATTTTTTTTTAAATGAAGCAAAATCTTTGTCTGTTAATGAGACACAGAGTAGTCAAAGGTACGATTGTTTATTCCGTCGAAATATCTGCCATAAAACCTTCTTCCTCCAATTTTGTACTTTGTGCTGATGCAGAAATTGGTGTGGGACAAGTAATGTTACAGGTAACTATGACTTTTTATATTAAATTTTTTTTATGATTTATATTAAATTTAAGAATTATGATATCGACTCTCAGATCATTCTGAAACATAAAGCAAAATCAATACTTTAAAGGGACCGCATGTGGAAATATATTCAGTCGTAATATCAAGTATAAAATCAGAAACAATAAAAAAGTAGTTATAAAAGTGAGTTTCAATGGGCTGCGATTCAAATACTTCGGTACGACAGATGTATACTCCATAACGACCGGATGGGGACAAAAAGCAACAACATCTCGATGCTGCATTTAAGCCATTTCTAAATGATGAGGATATCTTCGGAAGATTTTGCAAAGTACTAATAAGGAGTTGAACTATCTATTATATCTCTAAAAACCGAGCAGTTGAAAGTAAGAAAGGCAAATACAAGCAAATTTTTTTTGGGACTATCGATCACCACTTGCATTTGGTAACATATCTCCTTTACATTCGCAAAAAATGTCTGTTTTACTGGAATTTTTTAAAAACATCCACAATGAAATCATTAGCATTTATCGATTCAACAAACCTTGCTGATTGATTTGGTAACAGTTCCCGAAAAAGCATGTTATCGTCCGACCGCGAATCAGATAAACAACTACTGATTAATTTAACAAAAGTTGTTAAATTGTGATTTAAATATTTTCAAATTTATTATTTTCTGTATTTGTCTACTTAATTTTACTATTATCTAAATGCTATTTGCATACCAACTGTTTTTGTTTATTATTCATCGAGGAAGCAATGGTGGCACTAATATTATTACTACAAAATTGTGCATTATAATTATCATGATTACTGACAGTCACTACGGAATCATAATCATTAATAATTACAAATAATGCTCGTGTTTTGTAAAATTCATCCAAAACAAATTGGAAAAAAACAACTAGTTGATATCAAAATATTAATCTTTAAGCAGGTCAGGTAAATTAATAAATAATCATGTTTTGAAGAGAGCAAGTAATATCATATTAAATAATAAATGAAAAGCGTCCATATCAAACTATTCAACTTCTACAGTTTGTGGAAAAAATTACGACCGTGATAATTTATTCTCGCACTAACAATATCAACTCAAGAATAACTACCGTATTTGGGCTGAAATTAGCTTCTTCGCTTGTTTTGTGATACAAACAATTTTGCAGCAATATACATGTTTGAATGATATCATTTTATTAAATCTGTTCGGACTCGTCTATGTTCATTGAACACAATATGCATCTTCCGATTCCAAAGCTTACTCAACCAGTTTTCATTTAATCAACTTCGGTTGATCAGACTAATGGTTGAAATTTACTAATTTTTTATGGACATACCTTGGCATATATTCCGGAAAAAGTCGAAGGACTTTAATTAATTCACTTTATTTCATTCAACAACACACAATTGACATATCACTATTCATCAATGATCTTTCCAGTTCGTTGCTATTATTACATGACTTTTTGCTTCTCCCGTACGTGTTTGCCAAGTCTCGACCACTCTTTTCACACAAATTTCAAATTCTGATTTTTAGCCTTAAAATTTCAGTTACCATTTTACACAAAATCAAATAAACTTCGTATGACCTACTTCACAATGCTATTAATGATGAATTTAAAGAATTTGGAATATTGAAAGTTAAATGGCAGTAAACGTTAAAATATAACACGTGTCAAATAAGACATCAAAATGTTGCCGTTTCACAGCCAAAGTGCAGCATTTCGTTTCAGAATTTTAGGAAATAATCTGTGCTATATTTTCTTCCTGGAACCAATTCCCTCAAAAATATGAATTTAGAAAACTATTACGGTCCCAAAAGACGATCTAAGCATTCTTCTCGCTGCAGCATATAAGTTATTTCAATCGGCCTTTACTGACTGAAATTAGAAAAAATTTGATCACAATTTCGAACTAAAAATTCTATTCTCTTTAACAGTAAAATAAATATTATTTACATTAATAATTTATTAGAATTTACGGCTCAAGCATGAAATAGCAAGCGTATAACTATATTGATACTTCGTAATAAACATATACAAATCATGCATAAACAAAACGCAGCATGCTGTATCTTCTATGTATTGATTTGCATTATGTATTTTACGGAAGAGAGTCTCTTTATAATGTTAGAAAGATAACTATCAATAATCAAGTTTGTTAAATTTTAAACAAGAATGAACGTTGAAAACGAAAAATCACTCTTAAATCTCACAAAAATATAACACAATCAGTTATATAAAGTCTCGAAATGCCATTATATAAATTAAAAAAAAAAGTCATTTCAGATTTCACTGCATTCAGAACATATTGCACACATAGATACTTTTGTCTGTGTAATGCATAAAAAATTTTTGAGAGAGTAGCTTGATAATAGTTTAGTTGAAACGAAAAATAACAATAAAACAAATAATTTTAACACGAATAAAAAGAAAGGAAGACACTATAAAATATCAAATAAAATCAATGATTCCACGTGTAAGTGCCATAAGCAGATCCCAATTTGTATGATTTTTAATCACTTCATCTTCAACCCATCTAGCATAGTTACGCTTAAATCGATCACTTAGTTCCACTTTTGTACCCAATAATGACTGGAAACTATTGTCCATTGGTGCAAACTCATTTATATCAATATTATCCAAATAGCTATCTTCTGGAGATGAAGCTTCTCCAACTTCTAAAAATAAAGCAATGCTTTTATCAATGGTAGTAGCTAAAAATACCTTACATATATTTTAGAATATCTGTTAATTCCATACAGTAATTCGGATCTAGCCATCAAATTTTCGGTCGCAACTGACCCTGCTTCTGTAGTCGGTAAGTTTGTAGGTATATTTCAAAAGAGATTAGCAAAAATTTAATTTACATTTCAAAAGATTAGCAAAAAACACTACGGTAATGGAGACAAAATGTCATACTTAACCAACTCTATGTTATGACTGCCCGGTATGTTGAAAAGAAAAATAAACTTCAATCTTCTGACAATAGAAAAACAAAAATCCTTAAGCATCATATAAATTTTGTAAATTTTGTAATTCACCTAATGCAAATGCAGGATATAAACGAGCGTAACGTCTCGAATTGAATCTTTCTACCGCAGTTTTCAGTGCTGCTTCCTCATTCTGGAAATCAAACGATTTCGAGCGAGTTTCATTTGCATAAGTCCAGTCATCATTTAATCTAAAAGCAGATAAAGTTATAAATCTTTTAACATAAATTAAACAAACAATGTAATCTGTAGTCACTGGATAAACAATTTATAACTTATTTATACAGTGATATAATGTTTATACAATGAGAAAAATACTTGTAAATTAATCGCAGCATCTATATTGTAATCGGAAAATTTTACAATAATCGTATGTCTGTTATAAGACTGAGAAAAAAAGCAAGCTATGCTCACACAAAAACATATTCGTTAACAACGTAATGAACTAAGAATTAGCGATATAATATATATGCAGCATATATCGTCCTCTTTGGTAATCTTTATTTATATTTCAATCCTTTTTTGATTTCACCATCACATCTATAAAATAAAAAAATCACCTATGTCGCACTTTTGCATAAATCGCCGACATAATTTCCATATTTGTTCGCCTCCACTGCCGTCCTAGGTATCGAGCTTGCATTTTGAGTAATTTTAATACATACAGCTGGAACACTGCCTACAAAAATAAAGCAAACTGACCTTCAAATAAATTATCAAAATTTAATCTCATATTTTTGTTCGTTAATCAACAAACTAATCAGTAATTTAGATATCAAACAAGTTCTAAATGATCAATTTTTTATTTTATTAATAAAATTCTCTATTGAACGTCTCACTTATTTCTCATACAGGAAGCCTAACCCAACTCAATGTTGCGGGCTGCAAGCATGGCAACATAAAATAAATGAAAAAAGATATTATAAAACACAAACAATACATTAATTGAGTGAGTAATTTACAAATTCGAGATAATATAGTAACAGACCAACTTAACCCTTAATGAGCGTTTTAAAATTGGCGCCGATTTGAATACTACCAGCATCATTGTACGTGCATGTTTCCATTTCGTTAATTTATTCAAAACTCGCAGGAGATTGATGGCTGAGAAAACATTACGCCATAGATAATATGATGGTGACTGCGAATCATTATCCTCGAGATTATTAATATCCAGCACCGGCCATTCCTCTACAATACTACTATTACAGATAAAATTTAAATTTATGAGATTCTGAATTTATTACTGAAGTTAATAAATACCCATTTTCCTGAGAAGATCAGAAATCATCCAAGATTCATCTGTCTGTATTTCTAGCGGATCTCAGCACACGACATGTTTTAAGTAATGAATTGAATATCAAAGAGAAATAACAGAAGAAACTTCAAGCAAAGACGAAAAACTCTAAACAATTAAGTGTAAGATACAGATGAATAACTTGAGAAGAGTTGAGATCTTTATTTTCTGAACTAAACTGATCTTGGATGTCATGAATGTCTTCAACAAAACCGATTTCGACAAATATTAATAGGTAAAAATTCACCATGATTTCGCACATAATAAAGTGGAGCATGTGGATAATTGTACGGTCGCAATTCATGTTTCGATTGTATATATCGAACCATATTTTGATCCATAAATTTCAGGATTAACGGAATGCAATTAGAGAAAACAAGATGTTGCCCGATATATTCAAATTGATATACGTGATTTAATCGAAAATGCTTCATCAGTAATATTAGAATTGCAGAAGCAGCTTTAACCATTATCTGAATATTTAGAAATACAACGAGGTATTTCAATAAAACTCCTCGAATTTCAGAGAAAGTTTTTTTCTTTAAATTATGAAAAACCTGTGTATTTATTTCCTAGGATAACTCTTTCTGCTTTGTTGTTTCAGTATATAAACATAAAAATACTAGTACCTCTTTGTGTCGATTAACATCGATTGCAATACGAACGCTTTGTTCAAGAATATTGGAGAGTGAATTATCAAAATTGACTGAATTTGACAATATTTCATTGTTATCTGTTTCAGGTGTAAGCACATCCGACAATATATTGATTGCCTCACTTTTTGCCTACAAACACAAAAAATTAAAATAATTCCTTTAGAACCACCACCAACAGAAATGTTAGATGATGCTGCACCATTTTTATTATTGTTGTGGATGAATAACACCTTGTAATAAAGTTAGCACATCTCATGTGTTAGTATGACTACATGCTGTTCGAGTAAGAAGGCATAAAATTTCGATAACTTCTGCAAAACAATTGATATCACAGTTCCACAATCTCATGGTGGGAATTAACCTTTGAAGAAGGTGCAGCAGCTAGTAGTACTTTTAATAAAGCAATAATGTATTGACTCAAATTGGGCAACATCATTCGATACAATTTTTCTGCACTCGTCATTGGAATATTATCTTCTCGTTGCGAAAACATATATCGATTTAATTCTTTTTCTCTATTTGCCTGTAAATAATTAGTCTGTATCACTATAAGTGCAACTAGACAAACTGAAAAGAAATCGAAACTCAGAAATCTCAAAAATCTGCAACATCACATGTGGTAGAATATCGATAAATATCATACTTGTAATTCACCCAATGAAACATAAACGTGACGACGTAATGCATCGATACTTTTTTGGATTGGTAACGGTAAACCGAATACTGTTGTTGAATCATTCGGTAAACGGTAATTAAAAAATTTCATTCTGAAAATTACACAAATGGCGATTTTATTTGAATCGATCCAATGATCCATCGCCAGCATAATGTCTTGTAAAATGCAATTTTAATACTAAAAAACTTAAGAAACAGTTGTAAATATGCCAAAAAGATGAAAGAAATATCAACCTTTCGCACTGCAAAAACGTCTCAATATCTTCTTCACGAACTTTTGAATTCCATGGCAGTGATGTTCGAAAAAGTATGTCCATAGGTGGTGGTGTGCCTGCGACAGGTGTATGATCACCCGTGCACGAACTTCTGCAACATTTGAAATAGAATACATCTTCATGATAAAAGCTGCTATGCAATGCAAGATTAACGCTATATTCCGCGAAATCTCCATGAAAATCCTGAAGATCTTTTTTCAAATTTCTCTTTAGTGACTGCTGAATTCAAATTATCATCAAGGACTGCATTGAATAAACAAAAATTATGAAAAGTTCAACCGGTCGAAAACATACTGCATTAACGGATTTGGACGACTGAATATACTCTTCATATGTATTTCTTCTCTTGCCGGCGCAGGAGCTAAAACACCAAGTTTTTCACACAAACTGCTAGAATAATATTCAATTTATTATCCATTGGTAATAATGTTTTATTACAAATGCCCTATCCTTTTGCATTCTTCTAAATTCTCCACTTTAATCGAAATTTATAAAAAGCAAATATTCTCGAAATCAATGAGTACCCGAGATCTGAGATAATTCTTCAACTACCAAGTCGCTTAAATCAGTGCTCTCTGCAGTGCTGTTGTCACTAGACTGATCCAGATCTGTTGGCGTTTGATCAATTTCTGCATATTCAGATCTCATTTTATCCAGTTCTCCATCGTTTTTGTCTGCAAACTAATTTCGCAATTTTTTTTAAAATTTTTTTCGCAATTCATTTCTCACTGTCACTGCACAATAAAACAAGAGAGACGTAAAAAAGTTGGATGATAACCGACCTTCAAGCGAGCCAGAGTTAGTGCAAGCAAACTGACGACAAATTAATCGAGCTGAAGAATGAACTGCTCTTTTTGGGCGAACAAAACCTGAAACAAATGAGAAACATAAATACGATTCAAATTGGAATTTCTAACGTCAAAGAATTTACAAATTAAAAAAAAACGGAGATTCAAAGTCACCCTGATTTTGCTCCGAATCATTGCCATTTATAGAAGATGATTTCATTGCACTTGCAACAAGAAGTGTATCTTCAACTGAGCTCAAATTCGCTGCTGCTCGTTTGGCAGCTTTTCCTTCACGCAATTCTCTCCAACCACCTAATATTGCCAA